TTAGACACTGTCGTTGGACAACATGCAGTAATTGATTGTTTTAAATCAGGTTGGGCCCGGATCCTGACCGCGGTCTGCTAATCTGTGACCTCTGGTTAAGGGGATCCAGTTCTTGCAGCATGACGCAAAGCTCATGACCATAGATGAGGGTAGGAACGTAGATCGACCAGTAAATCAAGAGCTTTGCTTTTTGGCTCAGGGCTCTCTTCTCTACAGCGGACCACTACAGGGCAGGCTTCACAGCAGATAATGCCGTGTACTGCCTGTTGATCTCCCACCATCTTCCACTCATTCGTGAACAAGACCCCAAGATACTTTAAACTGCTCCACTAGGGGTCAGTACATCCTCCCCAACCTGGAGAAGGCACTCTACCCTTGGTGGAGTCCAACCCTCAGCTGAAATGAGTCAGACTTACTACCAGCAATGCAGACCAGGCTCTGACACCGGTCATACAGAGACCTAACAGCCCCTATTAAAGGGCCCGGTACTCCATACTCCCACAGGACCCCCCCCCACAGGACCCCCGAGGAACACGGTCGAATGCCTTCTCCAGATCCACAAAACACATGTAGACTGGTTGGGCAAACTCCCATGCACCCTCCAGGATCCTGCTGAGGGTGTAGAGCAGATCCAGTGTTCCACGGTCAGGAGGGAAAACAACAGATATCTCCTAGTAATGGATAGCTAAGTCATAATTATAAAATATTCAGGGTTATTTTTAATAAGAGTGGTGGGAGGGGCTTCCATAGAGAGCAGAGAAGCACCAGCAGAGAGGTTTTTCCATTGGCTGTTTTCTTTCCTTCTTGCTAACAATCCTCTCTCTCCCATCCAGACGTGCTCGCTGCTGTTCCTCTGCGTCCTGGGTCACTCTTTCCTGGCGGTGCTCCTCTACTGGGCGCTGGACTCCATCTTCTCGGCGGCGTTCACCAGCGGCTTTCTGATCTTCTTCCTGGCTGAGCTGGCTCCTCACATCCTGTGCTCCGGGTACGGCTTCCAGCTGGCGCCTGGACTCACCTGGCTGGCCCAGGTCTGCATGGTGCTCACCTGTCCCCTGTCCTGCCCTCTGGGGCTCATCCTGGACCTGGGCCTGGGGAGAGACATCAGCACCTGTGGGATACGAGAGAGGGCTATGGAGATGATCCGCGCCAGCGTCAACGATCCCTACAGGTAGTATAGATCGGGGATATTTATTAGAAACTCAGGCACCAACACCAGTGGTTCCCAATGTAAGGGTCGGAGACCACTATAGCTCCATTTCCACTAACCTTTAGAAACTGTGCTGAGATCGGTCTGAGCACGGAACCGAGATAACTGTTGAGTGTAAATGGGAGACAAAACTGAACCGGACCACGCCAGACACAACCGAACCGTGCTAACATGGTACTAGTTCATCAGTAGGTCTCAGCGCGGTTCAGTTCTAGCTCAGTTTTCATAAACAAAGACCGCATGAGCAGACCGCTTCATCTCCTTACAGTGAGCCACAATAGGGCTTGGGCGTCATGACGTAATTACTTTGCGTGGCCGCCATGTTGATGGCCTCTTTTACCGCTGCTCAGACTACTGCCCATGACTACCGCGTACTGTACTCCCTCTCAGCCGTGTTTTAATTTGATTAATTTCACCTTAACTTGATTTCAACCATGGTAAACCGTTGCTGTATTGTGGGCTGTAACAGCGCAACACATGATCACCATGGGAACAACATAGAAAATGGGTTAACTTTCCACCTTTTTCCTGCCTGGAGGCGCAACCACGGAGACTAAGTGTCAGAGATAAAGAGTCGTTGGCTAGCTCTATTTAATGTGTCCAAGTAAATTCCAGATCCTTTTTGGGATTTTAACATCTTTTTTCTCTCTACTTCTACGTCTCTTTGTTCAACAACAACGTTGTATCAGAGCTATGTTTATGTTCGCGTAGCCATCAACATGGCCGCCACGTCCCAAAATGCAACGCGTATCCCAAGCCCTATTAACATGACATTTCAGACATTCATAAAAATCCTAGCTTCCCTATCGAGCCACAAGATGTCCAGTGATGCTTCTGCTTATCAGTGTGATGAACCTCAACGTCTATCCTTGTTTCCTGCATCTGGAAGCCCTGATAGACTAGCGTTAGTCGTATCCACTTCCCAAAAGCTGACTCTGTCAAGTAAATCCACCAAAGGCTGCTTTCTTCGCCTGACTCGCTGCAAACTTCCTGAACGTTACAGGCACCGCCATGTTGGTTTGCTTGTTTCTTTCCAGAGGGCAGTAGTACCGTCGATCGCCACTAGGAGGTGATGAACCATGCTAGTGTCATGTGTGAAATGGTCGTAAGGAATCAAGCTCGTCACGGATCGGTTTTCAGAGGGTAGAGTAAACGGGGCTATTGTGTGTCATAAAACTGTCTGTGTGGGACACGAAAGGAGGATAATTCTCATTTCAGTCACTATGACGATAAGATAATAAAATTCCTGTAAGAAATCAAATCTTTTAAAGGCAGAGTTTTTAAACTAAACATCTAAACGAAACTATAAAAGCACACATAATACGCCCTGGCTCCCTTCCATGTTACTCTCCATTGTTTACTTTCCTGATATCAGTCATAGTGGTGACATCATCAAAGCTAACGTGATGCTTCAGCAGACATGCAGCCTTTTTTGCCAATGGGATGCTGGTGGTTAGCTAGTCCAGTGCTAGCTAAACCTGCATTAACCCAATCATTTCAGGCTTTCTATGGTTATAAACATTCTCAGCCAATGTTAGCCCCTTTTTAAAAATAGTCTAAAACTAGGCTGATATCAACCAACATGTGTCTCAGAAGGGGGGTGGGGTGATCATTTGGTGTTTTGGGCATGTGACAGTGATGCAGCAGGGGGGGGATGGGTGTTAAACTACTATGTCAGCAGGGTGGCTGCTTTTTGACATGGGGATGTAAACAAGTAATCAAGTTACAAATAATTGTCGTTTAATAGTTTAGTACATTAAAATTTGTTCCATCCGATTAAAAGGTCAATGTTGTTACGTTTCTGCCATCTAAACTGGAAAAATTAACCAATCCAGTTTTTGGATTATTTACATTGTTTTATGGAGAAGGATGCAAACTGAACTTTTTAAGGTTCTGTTTGTAAATATAAACAATGGATAAACTCCTCAGGTTATCACCTAGAAAGCGCCCATTTAGCGGTGCTGCATGGCAGAGCAGCATCAGTGTCTCTGCTGTGTTTGGAAGGTCCGATGACAAAAAAGGGGAGGACTTTAGGCAAAACGTTTGAAACGTGATAGAAAAAGACATGCTAGTAGTTAGCATGGTAGGCTTTTGTAATTTAATGCACTTGATGGAGGCACATTTCCCAGCACTGAATGCAAGATTACGCTAACATAGAGTGCTATATCACAGTTAGTGTCCACTTGATTGAAACAAAGTGGTAAATAATCAGCAAGTGAACCATTGAAATTACTTTCTGTCAGTGTGTTTACTGTCTGTCTGTTTTCTATCGGTCTTTTTTTCTCTGTCCATCTGTGTTCTGTCTGTTTTCTATCTGTTATTGTTTTTTTTNTTCTTCGCCTGACTCGCTGCAAACTTCCTGAACGTTACAGGCACCGCCATGTTGGTTTGCTTGTTTCTTTCCAGAGGGCAGTAGTACCGTCGATCGCCACTAGGAGGTGATGAACCATGCTAGTGTCATGTGTGAAATGGTCGTAAGGAATCAAGCTCGTCACGGATCGGTTTTCAGAGGGTAGAGTAAACGGGGCTATTGTGTGTCATAAAACTGTCTGTGTGGGACACGAAAGGAGGATAATTCTCATTTCAGTCACTATGACGATAAGATAATAAAATTCCTGTAAGAAATCAAATCTTTTAAAGGCAGAGTTTTTAAACTAAACATCTAAACGAAACTATAAAAGCACACATAATACGCCCTGGCTCCCTTCCATGTTACTCTCCATTGTTTACTTTCCTGATATCAGTCATAGTGGTGACATCATCAAAGCTAACGTGATGCTTCAGCAGACATGCAGCCTTTTTTGCCAATGGGATGCTGGTGGTTAGCTAGTCCAGTGCTAGCTAAACCTGCATTAACCCAATCATTTCAGGCTTTCTATGGTTATAAACATTCTCAGCCAATGTTAGCCCCTTTTTAAAAATAGTCTAAAACTAGGCTGATATCAACCAACATGTGTCTCAGAAGGGGGGTGGGGTGATCATTTGGTGTTTTGGGCATGTGACAGTGATGCAGCAGGGGGGGGATGGGTGTTAAACTACTATGTCAGCAGGGTGGCTGCTTTTTGACATGGGGATGTAAACAAGTAATCAAGTTACAAATAATTGTCGTTTAATAGTTTAGTACATTAAAATTTGTTCCATCCGATTAAAAGGTCAATGTTGTTACGTTTCTGCCATCTAAACTGGAAAAATTAACCAATCCAGTTTTTGGATTATTTACATTGTTTTATGGAGAAGGATGCAAACTGAACTTTTTAAGGTTCTGTTTGTAAATATAAACAATGGATAAACTCCTCAGGTTATCACCTAGAAAGCGCCCATTTAGCGGTGCTGCATGGCAGAGCAGCATCAGTGTCTCTGCTGTGTTTGGAAGGTCCGATGACAAAAAAGGGGAGGACTTTAGGCAAAACGTTTGAAACGTGATAGAAAAAGACATGCTAGTAGTTAGCATGGTAGGCTTTTGTAATTTAATGCACTTGATGGAGGCACATTTCCCAGCACTGAATGCAAGATTACGCTAACATAGAGTGCTATATCACAGTTAGTGTCCACTTGATTGAAACAAAGTGGTAAATAATCAGCAAGTGAACCATTGAAATTACTTTCTGTCAGTGTGTTTACTGTCTGTCTGTTTTCTATCGGTCTTTTTTTCTCTGTCCATCTGTGTTCTGTCTGTTTTCTATCTGTTATTGTTTTTTTTTCTCTGTTTTCAGTCTGTTTTCTGTCTGTCAATGTGTTTTCTGTCAGTATTTTTGTTGCACACGATGCTCCGTCCCAGTTAACTGATTGAAATGGGGAGTGCATCCTAGTGGTTAGGGCATAGGGCGTGGAATCCTGAGGTTGTGAGTTTGAAACCCACTCCCACAGACTGCCACTCTGGCTCTCTGAGCAAGACCCTTAACCCCACACTGCTCCCCGGGCGCTGCACAGCGGCTCCCCAAGCGATGGGTTAAATGCAGAGAGTTAATTTCTGCATTGTGAGATCAATAAAGATCAATGTATTTATTTTTTTATTCGAAGCTTCTACTTTGAAAACGTCCGGTTATCAAATAAACAAATATGTGTGGGGTTGGTTACTCCCCCACATATTAAGTGGACTCCAGTTTTTAATGGTGATGTTGAACAGCTGTTCAACAAAGATATTCGTAGGTCAGCTGTGGTATTTATGACTCTTATTCTGAAGGTTTGGAGGAAGCTGTGTCTCAGCTCTTCTTTGGCATTGACACTTTAGGTGGATACAGTCCTCTAACTGATTTCAGCTGAAAGCTAGTTTTTATTTGACAGCCTTAATGACTTAATCTTTGACTCAGAGTTTGCTTTAAGCCTGAAGTGGAAATGTCACCTTGGGGGATGATTAATAAGCTGAGCTGAAGTTTCTTATGTAGCACACCTGACCTCGACTGGGAAGCTAACCATTTCAAGATGTCGCTACACAGACTTCTACCTTTTTAAAGTTTAACAACAGATTTAAAACGTAACTATGACTCCTGGGTCAGAGGGACGTGTTGAGCCGCATTGTGAAAATGAGAATGTTTTGTGTGACTTTGTGCAGAGGTGAACTGAAACCCGTTTCAGTTGATCAGAGACACGTTTGAACTCGTCATCCACAGACTGAGTGCATCTTTCCAAGGCAGGAACATTTTCCAGGAACCAGGGAGTTTTCTTGGAGGAAAAATTACCCCATAATATATTTAACCCAGTAAAGTTTCCAACATGGATAGTACATCTAGGCTAACACCTAGAGCTAGGTGGAGGGACAGGACTAAAGCTTTAGTTGAAAAGTTTCAGTGTGTTTTGCACCAAGTCCATTGCTTTAGGCTTTAGTTATTTAAAAAATAGGCTTTTAAAAGGTACATGGTTGCATTACCTGCCTATACCTATAGACAAAAATCCAGTTAATGATGATAACATACGGCTATATACTCAAAGCTTCTGTCCTGATGGTGTTTAGACTGTCTTTTTTGAGCCTAAATAGAATCCCAGCACCGATCCTGATGAGAAGCTATAAACAGACGTGGCGCCATCTGCTGGAAGTACTGCTGAACTACCAGAAAGCTAGATGATGGCCTGGAATGCCTGGAACGGAAAATATACAACTTTGATAATATGCTTTAAAAGTGGGGCTTCAACTAACACCTATTTTGCTAAAGAATTAACTTGAGGATAGTTTTAAATTTTTTATAAGATCATTTTACGCAGATTTTGAACCAGGAGAAGCTAAAACTATTCCCCTTGATGACTTCTGGATATAATCTATTATTGGGGTGGATGCAAAATGTTTTCATCTTTTTCACAATTTTGCTGTTTTGAGCAGGTTCCTCATTCTGCTAAATGCATGTTTTTTGAGACTGCTTAACAATTAAGTTATTTAAATTCCAAATTAGCTGATTATTTCAATGATCCATTTATCATGATTAATCTATGACTATACGTCGCTCCGGAGTTTA